CAACAAACCGCACACCGTCACTTGTTGAACAAGTAAATCAGAAACTACCGAAGTAAATAACTGCAAGATTTTTTCAGTCATGTATTTTGAAACTACATATGAAAATCATAATCAACTTATTAAAAAAAATCATTCCATTTACACTTATCAAAATGCAACAACTTCAACTAATGAGCATTCTTTTAGCGTTTCATCAAACATTGGATATTTTATATTCTCGGGATTCTAATGAGGTTTCCTGGTAATCTATATCCATTTTAATTTTATATTATCCTACCATTCCTTTAAGGTTTCATATCAATGCAAGTGCAAAAAATGGAGGAAACGAGTGGAATGTAGATACAAATTCACGACAAGAAACTACGCTTGGAGCTGTCTTGTTCTGCAACAACTTCATCGAACACTGGATATTTAAGTCCATCGAAATCCTATCAAGAAAATATTACCACTCTCAAAGATGAAGATAGACAAGAACAGACCCTCAAGTTGTTTCTCCTTAGAACCGACATTGAAATTAGCAATAAATACACCAATCAAGAAGTACCCATTGTAGACACGTTATTTCATCTCACATTCATCCATATATTACATTAAACACATATTTTATTATTTATTTATTTTTTTCATGTTTCCAGGCCTAAACAGAGGGCCCAGACCAAATGGCAAGCCGATTCCCAGCAATGAACTAGGGTTTCTAGAACCCTAGTGTTCCAAGTCTCCACGGCGCCCTTGCTCGAGGAGTCCTTACACCATACGGCCGCATTCCACGCCAGTTTCATCAGCCATTCAACAAATCCGGTTCCCTCGGCGCAAGGAAAGCACACGTAAGCACATGAGACACAAACAAAGGCGACGTATGTTAGTGGGATTTCGAACGACCACAACCGAGTTTCACTCGGATTCAATCTCTAAATATAGATTTTCTTAGGCTATAAAAACCCATGTAATCAATACGCAAAGGGGAGATTACCACAAAAAGACACACAATATATTACGAGAGATCAGGGGAGATATAACAGATTGGAAGTTTTATTTTGTAACCAGTTCAGAAAGAAATAAAGGTAGCATTTTTCTTACCTCTTTTTTTGGTTTTTTTCGCCTTTGCATGTTAGTGTTCCTCTATGATTTGTACAGAAACAAAAGAAAGCGTTTTCAGCCGATGAACGGAGGGGCTTGGTCGGGATCTTCTTTTGTAGATCTAGCCCCCGAGGCTCGTTTTTTATAAAAAAAATATTTCGTTTTTCTGAAACTAGATTTAAAAAGCTTTGGAAAACAAAAAAAAACGGGTTTTGCCGCCGATGAACGGCGGCCGTCGCCGTTCAACGGCGGCGGCGAGGCGGCGCGAGGAGGCCAACGGTCGGCTTCTGTAAAAGGTTGCATGTGTTCTTCATTGCTGAAGAACAAGGCAGAGAAAAGAGAAAGGGGAGGGTATCCCTCGGCTTGGAGAAGAGAGAAATAAGTAATAAAAAGGAAATTCTGAGTTTATACTTAAAACGTCCGCATGTCCCTGTCTAAATTAGGGTAAACTACCCTTTTGGTCCCTCGTATCCTTTGAAGAGTTATTTCACTCCCCAAATCAAAATTAACCCTTAATATTGCATTGAATTCTGACCCCCTAGCTTATAGTTCTTTCAATTTGACCCTTTTTCTGGATTTTAATTTTATTTATCTATTATCTTTTTATATTACATTATAACGTTTATATATATATTTTATATTATTATTAGTTTTTTACATTCGTATGTACATATTATTAGTATATTATTATTATACTTATATGTTATATTAAATATATATGTATATATAGGTGTGTATACATTTGGTATTTTATCTTATTATTTCTTTACTTTTTTTATATATTTATCTTCATTATTTAGTTTTTCTATTACTATTATATAGATTTTTTTCCCCTCTCATATTTAGTTATTATATATATGGAATTAATATTATTATATGTTTTTTATTAATTTTACCTTATACGCTATTATTTTACATTCTTTATATACATGTGGACATTTTTATCATTTTACATTTGTATGTTATTTTATTTCACCTTTATTATGTTTTATTTATTTATTTATTCCTTTTTATTTTTATACATATTTGATTATAGTTATTTATCTATTTTAGTTTTTTTAGGTTTTTTTAATTTTATTTTACTTATTACTATTATATATATCTTTTTATTTATTTTTATTGTATATATCTTTATTATTATTACCATCGTTTTTATATTCTATATTTTCCTCATCCTATTTGTTTTCCATTTTACCTTAGGTGTTTTATTTGCATCCCTTATCTAACATATGTCTCGATCTTTTAAGGGTACAATTTAAGCAATCTAAGGTAAGTAATTTGGATCATCATTTTACATTTTAATTTAAATTTACAACTTTCTTAATTAAAGACAACTGGAAATTACATAGTACCGAAAGGGCAGTTTAAGGGTGCTAATCCTTCCTTAGCTGTAACCGACTCCCGAATCCGACATATCTTTGGCAAGACGCAGATCAGGTAAGATGTAAGGTATCCGATTAACCTATTTATTTTTAAATAAATAATCGGTGGCGACTCCAATCCATTTTCCTAAGTCGAAGCCCAATTCTGGGGCCCAACCGAAAGACGGTTACGACAGCTTGGCGACTCCGCTGGGGACCCAGGTAAGTGAGTCAGGCTAAGGTAATTTCCAGTTGTCTTTTTAATGAAAAGGGTAAGTTTGAACTTTAAGGTAACATTTCGATCCTTATTACTTACTTTTGGTTATATTTTTTCGAGTAAATAGTTGGACTGACCGTTTTCTAATGATTTCAGTTTTCTAAAATTTTTCATCCAAAGGCTCTATACCCGAGCTCCGAACCCTTTAAGTGGGGGTGAAAGCGACGCATTCGTGTGAATTTATTCACCGCATATGCCTAGCAAGTAGCCTTCGGGATTCATATACCTTATGTCTTCGTGTGAATTTATTCTCCGCATAGACATAAGGGAATGTGTCCCCTCGAGTTTAACTTAGTCCACACAAGCCTGTGATGGGTTTAGGACTAAGGGTCTGGTAAGCCCAAGGGGGCACCAGCAAGGAGAACTCGGGTACCGTTTTTAGAACCTAAACCAGGAGACTTCGAAGAAATAGAGCCTACCCCAAAACCACATTCCAAAACCTAGGACAATTGTTTCCTAACCGTTTGTTTTTTCTTATGTTTTTATTGCCATTTATTTCTTGTTATTTTTATTTATTTCCATTTATTTTTATTTTACTAACCATTTGCCTTTATGTTTGTTTTTAGCATTTGCATCATAACAAGAGACCATTGATCCCTAAAAAGACGTTCATTACGCACAAAATAATCTGAATTAATGGATAAAGGTGTTGTAATACAAGAGATTAAAAACCCTGAGGTACGACTATGGTCCGAGAAGACTCAGAAGGAAAAGGGAGACAGTCTTCAAGACAGCTATGTGTCAGAGCTGGTTAGCTACGCCTCGATCAGCCTAAAGCAGAATGACGTACAAGAGCTCCGGGACATCTGGGACTGTTGGAAGAATGAGGTAAAACAGAAGTTCAGCCAACGATACGGTGATGTTGCACTTCTGCTTCATGTTAAGATTGATGAGCCCTTAATTAGAGCCTTGGTTCAATTCTGGAACCCGGGATACAGTTGCTTCACCTTTAACCGGGAAGACATGGTGCCCACCATAGAAGAGTACACTACACTGCTGCATTGTGAAAACATCAAACTCGAGCGGGCCTACCTTAAGCACATTAAAAGTCAACCTTTCAAAAATACACTAGCTAAGGTTGCCGGAGTTGATGAAAAATGGGTAACTGACCGAGCTCGATGTAAGGGTAGTGGAGAAGGAATCGCTTGGCTTCATATCAAACAACTAATGAAGCACCATCCTGATGAGTGGAAGACAATAGACCTGTTTGCATTAGGTCTGTATGGTCTAATTTTATTCCCAAAGACCTTGGGATACATCGATGCCACCGTAGTGGAGCTATTCGAACAACTCTCGAGAAGAGTCAATCCAGCACCAGCCATCTTGGCTGAGACCTTTCGATCTCTCAATCATTGCCGAAGAACTGGCGGAGGAAGATTCACCGGGTGCATTCAGCTCCTTCAAGTCTGGATTCACAGCCACTTCTGGAAGACTGACGGGGTTGCCTACCGCCGTTTCAGCACCACCTATTCACCTCTAGGTGAATTTATTACCTTAAAATGGCATGAAGGCGCCTCGAAAGAAAAATGGATGAAGGTCTTTACGCATCTTCAAGACCGAGATATTGTTTGGAGAGCCCCTTGGTTATTCCTCAGTGATGTTCTTTTTCGATGTGGTGACTCCGACACTGTGACCTTACTTGGACTTTGGGGAGCAGTCGGGTATGCTCCGCTATTAGCACTTAGACAATATGGAGCACGTCAGTTTGTCCCAGTAACATGCGGGTTAGCTAGGTCAGAGTTTGAGTATCACGGCGACAGCTATAAGAAAATGATCAAAGAAGTAGCCGATTCGTGGAGGAAAGTATTCCGGATGGATGTTGTAGCTGCCAGAAGTATGCTCACTCCGGATTATGTGGAGTGGCGAAGATTGAGAAAGAATGACAATATCCCTGTGCCAGACTGTGATGACACCCGGACCATGGAGGAACATCTCAGGCATGTCCCTTCTGAACTAGAGATAGCTAAGACCGAGTTTGAAGCCGTGAATAATGAGCTGAAGCAAAGGATAAAGGAACTTGAAGCTGAACGTTATCAGTGGAAGCTTGATGCTGACTCTCAGAAAGATCGGGCAGAAAAACTGGAAAAAGAACAAAAAAGAGTCCGTTTTGAGCTCGAATACTTGAGAAAGGGGTATCAAGATAAGGTCAAGGATAACTCCAAGTTGAAGGTAACCTCTGAATACTGGAAAGACGAAGACCATAGCCTGAAAAGGAAGTTCGAGGGGCCTGATGAGAGAGCTTGGAAAGAACAAACAAAGACTGCCCAAAGACGCTTGGCAGATAGTCAATATCAGAACCAACGCTTGAGAGTTCGGGTAGCTGACTTAGAGAAACAGCATGAGAAAGATGGCAAGACGATAGCTGAGTTAGAAGCTATTATAGATGGGTTCAACAGGCAAGCAAACGAGCTTCAGATGGTGCCCTTCGACGGAGGACTACAATGGCGTTTCCGTTGGGAACAAGCACAACGAAGGGTGAGGGCCCGAGACGCAACCATCCGAGATTTCCTGGATCAAGTGCAAAAAGCAGCCCGTCATCTTCACGGCCTAGCAAGGGAAGCTGGTGTGGTTCGACAAGGCATTCAACCAGTGACAGATGAAGGCAGAAGACTTGTCAACCTACTGGAAGCTGTTCGGGGTCTAGAGGATTTAGTCCGAATGTACCTTTAATCTGTCTTTTATGTCTCTAAAAAGATAAAACATTTTTGTCTGAATAAGGATTATTTATAATAATGAACACTTTTCTGGATCAATGCCTCCAATTGCATACATCATACATTACATTTCTTGCATTTTATATTTCATGTTTGTTTATTTTATATTTTCCATGTTTTTACATTCATATTAACTAACAGAACATGTCTCAGACACCAAGCTTACCACCGCAAGCATCAGATACACATCACCCGCACAATACTCGAGCAAAAAAGAGACAAATGGAAGCCAGAATAGAGAAGATCGAAGAACACATGGCAAGACTTCAAAAGGAGCTAGAAGATAAGATGGCTCAGAACAGTGAAAGTACTCTTGAGTCCATCAAGAAAAATCAGGAGTCCTTGGTCGACCAAATCGTAGCCAAGTTGTCAGGTCTACAGCAAGCTAGTGCATCAGGGGGCATCTCTTCCGAGGGGGTGGCCATACCACCAACCCCGCAAGTGGTTCTCTCACCCGGAATATTACCCGGGGACGCATATGCTACTAAAGGGAAAGCAGCACTACCCGGGGACTCATTCGCTACCAAAGCGAAAGTTGCACCTGCTGTGAAGATACAAACTTCTACAATCATCCCTGATGATCATCCGGATGATTATAATGTCCCAGATTTTGACGAGGAAGATAAAGCCAAAAAGATGGAAGAAAAGATAAAAATATTAGAAGATCAAATAAAGATGGTCCAGGGAGACCATGATTATTATGGAGTGGACGCAATGGAGCTAAGCCTAGTTCCAGACTTGGTACTTCCACCAAAGTTTAAAATTCCTGAGTTTGAGAAGTTCGACGGGAACAGCTGCCCTTCAGCCCATATCACTATGTTCTGTCGAAAGATGACAGGATATGGAGGGAATGATCAACTCCTGATCCATTGTTTTCAGGAGAGCCTGTCCGGTTCAGCTATTCGGTGGTACAACCAGCTTAGCCGAACTCATATCAAGACGTGGAAAGACTTAGCCAAGTCTTTCCTGGAGCAGTATAAGCATATCAACGATATGAGACCAGACCGGGTCATGTTACAAAGCCTGGAGAAGAAACACAATGAGAGTTTCCGACAGTACGCACAGAGATGGAGGGATTTATCTGTGCAAGTTCATCCACCTTTGGATGAAAAGGAAACTAGAAAGCTGTTTGTACAGACCCTGAGGGCACCTTACTTCGGGCATTTGGTAGCAATCACGTCGGGGAGTTTTTCAGATTTAGTCATGGCCGGCGAAATGATCGAGTTGTCCATTAAACAAGGAAAGATTGAGGGAGGAGACTCCAGTAAAAAGCCTCCCACGAAAAACAAGGAGCGAGAGATCAACAATGTAAACACCTACAGTGTCAGCAAGGGGGTTACGATCTCGAGCTCAAATTCCACAGCAGCTGTACCATCCGGTACTTCTAGACAGAACCATAGAGAACCAAGAAGAGAAAGGGAAAGGGAACAGTTTGACCCCATTCCCATGACGTATAAAGAATTATACCAACAGCTCTTCGACACTCATGCAGTGTCGCCTTATCCTATGAATCCAATAAATCCCCCTTACCCGAAATGGTATGACGAGAGCGCTCACTGCGAATACCATGGTGGTGTGCAGGGGCATTCGATTGAAAGTTGTCTCGCATTCAAGAGACTTGTGCAACGGATGAGAAACAAGAATTGGATCACTTTCAACTCCGGAACACCAAACGTCGCCCAGAATCCCTTGCCCAATCATCAGGAGACAGGAATCAATGCCGTTACTACCGAAGGGGGCAGGAAAGTTAAATTGAGTGTTTCAGAGGTTAAATCTCCTTTGGCTTGGGTATGGAGCCAAATGGTAAAGGCAGGATTTTTTGCACCATATTCAGATACGATAGAAAACGAAGATGGTAACCATTGTTGTTACCACAACAAAGAAGGGCATAAAGTGCAAGATTGCCCAGAGTTCAGATTGTTAGTCCAGCTCATGATGGATCGAAAGGAGTTGGAATTTTACGAAGAAATTCAAGATTCTTGGGAAGCAGATGTTTGTGCCACCGGAGAATCATCCGATAGAAAATTTGGTAGGGGTAGTCCTTTGATAATTACCCCTAAGGCAAGCATGACAGTGACAACACCAGCCAAGGTGGTAATCTCCGCACCGCGGCCTTTTCAATATAAGGACAATCGGCAAGTGCCATGGAAGTACGAGTGTCAGGTGAGCACTTCCGGAGGAGGTAATAGTAAAGTGGGGCAAAGACCACTGGAGCCTTTCAAAGAAGATGTGCTAGTCGTCAATGAACCTATAAAGGAGGAAGAAGCTAAAGAGTTCCTCAAGATCTTGAAGCACAGCGAGTACAACATTGTAGAACAGCTCCACAACTTACCTACACGTACTTCAATGCTAGCACTATTTTTAAGCTCGGAAGCACACCGAGAAGCGTTGTTAAATGTCCTTAATCAAACGTTTGTGCCACAAGACATACCAGTCAGCAAGATGGATCGACTGGTGAACAATATTCAAGCTGATAATCTCATCTCGTTTTCAGATGATGAGATTCCATCAGGAGGAAGAGGCCGAACGAAGGCGTTACACATTACTACCTACTGTAAGGGGCACGCTTTACCAAGTGTCTTAATCGATAATGGTTCAGCCTTGAACGTGATGCCTTTGATTACATTGAAGAGGCTACCAATAGATACCTCTCATATGAGAGCTTGTCAGAATGTGGTCCGAGCATTTGATGGGACCAAAAGAGAGGTAATCGGAAAGATTGAGGTACCATTGACCATCGGACCAGCCACCTATAATGTCGAGTTCCTTGTGATGGATATCATGCCGTCCTATAGCTGTCTTTTGGGAAGGCCGTGGATTCATCAGGCAGGTGCAGTACCCTCCACGTTGCACCAGAAAGTTAAATTTGTCATTGACGGGGCCTTGGTAATTATCAACGCTGAGGAAGATATCGTGGCAAGCGTGACCACGGAGGCTCCATACATCGAAGTAGACGAGGAAGCGGTAGAATGTTCGTTCCGCTCCTTGGAGTTTGTGAATGCCACATTTGTGGCAGAAGGAAAGAGAATCCCAAGACCTCGACTCTCCAAATGCACAAGGATGGAGATCAAGCAAACCCTAGGTCGAGGCGCCAGAACCGGGAGAGGTTTTGGGAAATATTTGCAAGGGATGATCAATCCTGTCATTCCTATCCCAAAATCAGACCAATTTGGGCTCGGTTTTCAGCCCGGTTATCATGAAAAGAGAAAGGAAATCCAAAAGAACCGGGAGAGAAGGTTAGCTAGATTGACTGGAAACGAACTCCAATGGAAGCCTATGACATTCCCGCCACTTTTCAGAACATTCAAGTCAGGTGGTTATGTGTTTGAGACCACCACATCCGAGTTAGAAACGGCTCTGGAAGATCTGAATGTTAATGCCGTGACCACAGAAGATGTTGACAACGGAGATAGATCCGGGATATGCCTTCTGCCACATGGGTTCGTGCCTAGCAGTTGGTCGGTGGAAGAACTACCTGTGGTTTACAAGAATCTTTCAGAGTAATATTCGAGCTATCCCTATTTGCCTATACCCGGGGCAATAGGTGATCTTTTGTAAGGGTGAATAAATATTTTGTTTAAGTTTAATAAAAGATGCATTTTTCCTTTCCATGGCAAACAAACTTTTCTTTTATTTTTGAATTCATTCCCTATCTCCTTCATTCCAGTACTTCATTTCCAGTTACTCTCAAAGTTAGTTCTTGACCGTTCCGTGTGGGATATTATCCTCTCACACATGCACATTTTTCTTCTTTCAGGTTCCCAGATAACGATAATGGAGGCACTAATGATCCTGATCCGGAGGTGGATTTTGAATCAACCGTTTGCCTTGGGGAATTTGAAGAATGCGATAATGAAGAAGAATACAACTTGCCTACCGAATTGTTGAGAATGATAGAAAAAGAAGAAAAGCAAATACTGCCACATGAGGAGGCGATCGAAATATTAAATTTGGGCACTGAGGAAGATCGAAAGGAGGTTAAAATCGGCACAACTCTTTTGACTGAAGCAAGAAAAAACCTGATAGCCTTACTTCAGGAGTACGAAGATGTGTTTGCTTGGTCGTATCAAGACATGCCGGGACTAGACACAGATATGGTAGTTCACAAACTGCCAATCAAACCAGAATTCAAACCTGTGCAGCAAAAACTGAGAAGAATGCGACCAGAAATGCTCCTTAAGATCAAGGAAGAAGTCAAGAAGCAATTTGATGCCGGTTTTCTCCAAGTGGCCAAATACCCTGAGTGGGTGGCCAACATAGTGCCTGTGCCGAAGAAGGACGGGAAAGTACGCATGTGTGTCGATTACCGGGACCTTAATAAGGCCAGTCCCAAGGACAACTTTCCTCTGCCACACATAGACACTCTGGTGGACAATACGGCCGGGAACGCCTACTTTTCATTCATGGATGGATTTTCGGGGTACAATCAGATCAAGATGCATCCCGAAGACATGGAGAAGACCACTTTCGTCACAATGTGGGGAACTTTCTGTTACAAAGTGATGCCTTTCGGATTAAAGAATGCTGGGGCAACATATCAGAGAGCTATGGTTACCTTGTTCCACGACATGATGCACCAAGAGAT